TTTAGTTCTACTTGGAAACATTTTATAAATTTCTCTTTAACAGAAAATATGCGAGTTCTTCCAGAGGAAACTGAATTTGCAAAGTTTCTATTGGATATGGGAGATGGCGTATTAAATGATTCTAACGATAATATACAACTTCCAAATTGTTGTATCGCACCCATTAATGCTGATATTGTACAAGATATATATGGTGATTTGATAAAAAATAAAGAATTCAATAAAATAGCAAAGTGTGCAATACTTTCCGCACGAAATGCTGATGTAGATGAAATTAATAAACGTGTTGTCGAATTATTAGAAACGTTTGAAGAACGAATTTATACAAGTACAGATAGTACTGAAAACTGTGGTGATAATGGTGACATTGGTGAAGCTTTACTACCAGAATATTTAAATACTTTATCACCGTCATCTCTTCCACCTTATGAATTGCGTTTAAGACCAAATTGTGTCATTATGTTGATTAGAAATCTTAGTATCAATGAAGGTCTTTGTAATGGTACTAGATTAATGATTATAGCACTTGGCGACCATTTATTAAAATGCAAAATCTTAACAGGTGATAAAGTAGGAGATATTGTTTTTTTGAATCGTATAACGCTGTATTGTGAAAATGTATATCCTTTTACTTTTAAAAGAAGACAATTTCCAATAAAATTAGCTTTTGCTATGACAATTAACAAATCACAAGGACAGACATTTGACAGAGTAGGAATTGATCTTCGCAAAGATGTTTTTAATCATGGGCAACTTTATGTTGCCTTTTCACGAATACGTTCTTGGGAAGCATTAAAAGTTTATCTTGGTAGCCAGCGCGATAAAAAACAAGTTAAAAATTACGTCTATAAAGAAGTATATGTATGATTTCTTTTCTTTTAAATTTTTAAGAAAAAATATATTTTGATATATTTGTATATGATTTTACATAAAGAAATCATTAAAAATGTACGGGATCATTGAACAAATAACGTACGCAAAGCACATTTATTAATTAAATTAAAATTTTTTTCAAAGTTAATTTTTCAAATTTATTTAACATTATCTGTGCACATAATCTGTTACATATCCGTCGTGTATCCGTTTAAAAAAAAAA